CACATTGCCGAGAGGATGCTCGGATCTCGAGAGGGAAGAAGTTAAATAATTACATTATGACACCCTGCCGGGGATTTGCTCAAAAAATGAAACAGGTTTGTTTGCTGGACGCTCACTTTGGCATGCAGTTTCGCCTAGTGTTTTTCATTTTTAATTTGCCATAACCGAGGTGGGCATGCGTCAGGTTGACGGTCTCCATCCTCAGGACATTGAAGACAAAAAAGGATCCACGGATACTCTACAAACTCGGTCTGTGACTGAACTCCCGTCTGGAGAAGCTGTCGCTAGTTCCTTGGCAGTCCGATATCCGCAAGACATTGGATTTGCGATAAAAGCATGAAGCATCATTTTTTTGCCAGATTTTTTTAGCAACTTCCCCATTGCACCCGAGTTTCTCAGACGTACCCATAAGTGTCAAAATGGTTTTCGATAATGCAGGAAGCTCTCATGGGGTCCTATGAGTTTGTTCCGGAGCTTTTAGATATATTACCAGACTGAGAACTTTATGTACTTGAAACCTACTTCAGTCGTACACTGCCGTGAGATGACAGCACGTAATAAACCTTAAATACAACCATTACTAAATATTAGCCAGTAATATATTTAATATGGTTTCCTTGAGGTCTCCAAACAAATTCGACCGAGCGTCCGACAGATTGCAGACCCTCGTTTCACAGAATGTTTCTTTGAACAGTTCAGTAATTTGCAGCAAACTGTGAGGAGCAGCCGACGGCTCTCTTCAAACGAACTGCTTTTATTTCTGGTTTTTAGTTTTTCACAATTTCCGTGAAGCTATTTAAATTTCACTCCCCACCTGTCCCCTCCCCTCACTTTGCGTGAAATGTACCATACGAACTGAGCAATCATCTTGGTCATGGTTTTGAAGACTTTAAACTTGTGAGAAACACCGTCAAGAACTTAGGATATAAAGTTTTTTGCTTTTTAAGGACTTATTTCGGTTTTGTTAACATATATACATTTACAAAAGGGAATAGTCCGTTAGTAAAGATAGTTTTGCACTTGTCAACAACAGACGGCGTCAGACGAAATAAGAACGAGAGGTGAAGTCATCACACTTGCCGTGGGGGGAGGGGGGAGACAGTATGGTTAGGAGTGAATTACAGATACACAGACCTATGTCACGAGGTGGAGTAAGTTTTTGTTTAATTTCAATAAAAAATTTTAGATCTGGATCGTGGATTCGAATTAGACAGGATTCTAGAAGACTTAGTGGATGAAGTTAAATGCCCTCTCCTATTCAACGAGGACCACAAGAAATGAATTAACTTGTTCCACTTTTTCGGTTTTCGTCTAGCCTGTCTCCTTCCTGCTTTAGGAGGAAACTGGGCATACTCTGATTGACTTCAAATAAAGGGCGAATTAACCGAAAGAAACATTTTTGCCTCTTTGAACTTCCATCTTACGCACTTTCAAAAAACAGAAGAAAGTACTGATAGAATCGAACAGGCCAGTTCCAGGTTGCAGTTCCGAGGACGGAGATGCGATCATTGGAACAAGAAATGTATTGACCTGACGTTTCGGATTCTCACTCGAATCCATCATCAGAGATATTCGCATATAAAGGTGATGGTGGCACAAGGACTGCAGTATTTATAGCACGTGGCTGCCGTGGGACCATATGCGCGCTGTAATTAACAGCTCTCGAGATCACCGCTGGGGCCGTAATTGATGCGGCGGTGGCTTGGCGGTCCGAGTACGAGTCGGATGACGAAATCACGGTAATTAACGACTCTGACTCTGACTGAAAAGCCACCACCGCATCAATTACGACCCCAGCGGTGATCTCGAGAGCTGTTAATTACAGCGCGCATATGGTCCCACGGCAGCACGTGCTATCAATACTGCACTCCTTGTGCCGCCATTACCCTAATCTGCGACTATCTCTGATATGGGTTCGGGTGAGGGTGGCGTATGCACCAAAATGGTTGTCGATAAGCACAACACGATCACGTTTACGACTGAACTCCCTTTCGAAGAAGTTGTCACAAGTTCATTGACAGTTCGCCGTCTGAACCATGATGACCTCGCGCTAGAAACAGGGGGTGATTTCAGATCTTTTAAACAGTCTGCCTATGGCTCCCGAGCTTATCAACTGCACACTCAGATATTCGAAAAAACGGCTATCACGCCAACAGTAGTTAGGACCGGAGTCTTATGCCTCAAGGGACGTCAATGAAACAACCCCTGATGAATTATACATAGATATAACTGCTACTACCTATAAGCAAGTAGTATACGTATATAATGTTTGTATAAGGCTTATGGACGCGCTCAACCGAACTTTCGTCAGACGACAGGTCTTCGTTTCTAGGAATGTTTACCTACACGGCTCAACAAGTCGCAGCCGATTGTACAGGCAAAAATACACTTTAAAGAGCTCAGGGCAGTCAGCATGGATTAGTTCTTTTCAGCCTGCGTTGCATGAAGAACCTCTAATTGCCGCCCAAGACGCAGAGTTGCACAAGAAATATTCTGTTACAGAAAAAAGTCTCCAGGTATCCAAGATCTGACGTTCGTCGATGACTGCGCGCTCAACATCGTGACGGTAGGAGAAATTCTTGAGAACATCGATCTCTTCGTCTCAGACTGCGCGAGACTCGAACTGACCTTAAACACAGAAAAGAAGGTGGCCATGCACTGGACAACACCAAATGAATGAAAAGCCAATCAATGTAAATCGCACGCACTTCATACCAGCGGAGGAATTCGTGTGCCACGAATGTGTGATATCAAGGAGTTTTAAGATCGACGATGACATTGCCCACTGGATTTTCAAACTCAGCTAGGCCTTCGAACGGCAACAGAACTCAGTCTGAAATGGTCGCGGACTTCATTTTAATCCAAAACTCCCAATGCACACGATTTTATTCTTGACCACGCAACTGTATGTGGACAAAGACCTGGATAGTCTACGACAACCAAACTGAGGAACTCAGCAGCTTTCACCCTGGGTGCTTCCGCATTATTCTGAAGCTGGGATGATAGGACAATGCCAGACATAGAAGTTAACTGGAATTCACTGCGTCCGCTTCATGCTGAGGCAAATGCACTTGCTACGGAGCGGCTACATCATGAGCATGGATAACGGAAGCCTAGCCAAACGACTCTTCCATGACGACGCCCTCATGGGAGTCCGCCAACAAAACGACGTAACATGCACAGCCTGAGATTCTCCATCAAGCATATCCGAACCAATACAGCCGCCTAGGAAAGCCTTGCTCAGGAAGACGGATAAAGGTACGGGTTAGGAGGAGGTGGTGCTGTGTAAAGGCTCCCTTGAGTTACAGGCAGTTACGGGGTGGCCTGATACAAGCCTTCCGTATCATACGCGGTCAGGACTGCAGCCTCGTACCGGGGGACTTCTTCGAGTTAGCAACCACCACGAACCTACGAGGCCATCCATTCAAACTACGTGTGACAGGGGCCAGGCTGGACACACGAAAGTTCTTCTTCTTTAACAGAGTGCTAGAAGCTTGGAACGCTCTGTCTATGGATGTCGGTATGTCTGCTTCCATCGAGGTCTTTAAGAGGAGGCTGGATTTGTATAGCAGAGTCCACTAAATTACCACCCGACCTCTGTAACCTTGACAAATCCGTTGCTTTAATACTACTTGCTATATTTCAGTAACATTTTAAATTCAATTTCATATTGTCTTCAATCCATCGCCTACGCTTACTGACACACACCTATGCAACTTTTGTCACCGGGTATATTATTTATTTCCCTGCACTAGAAACGGCCGCTCTACAACTGCTCGTACCACTAACATTCGAGACAGTTTATTTGTCTGTACGGATCTAACGTTTTTCCGATTTTTTGTTACCTTTATGATACCTTTTCCAGTTTTTGAGATTTTGCAGTTGCTTGTAAACAAATTGGGAGTTCAAAGGTGAAGACCTACATTTCCCTCAATAAAACTGAACTGAACTGAACTGAAGAAGAGGGCCGTTGTCCTTACAGCCGTCGATAACATGGGGACATAGCACTCCCTTCTAGGCAGCTTTGTCTCCCCCGACGCGGACGCTGAAGTCACGAAGGACAGTGGGCTTGAAGAAGGAGGCACGACAATGGGCTTGTCCACCTTCATCACAGTCGCAGGTCTTCATAGAACTAGTTATTCGCCTCATCGGAGCTGATTATTGAGGGGCGTAGACAATGACGATGGTGGCAAAGTTGACTCCCCGAGCAGCCAGACGAAGACCGGACGTTGACGTCCTGTGGCAGACAAAGCAGTCACCCCACGATATCGTTCCGAATGGTAAAGACGACGTCTGCATCGTGTCGCACTGCCTTTGAGAGGCCGCTCCATAAGAAGGTGTAGCCGGCATCCACCTCAACGCAACGCACCAGTTTCCGAGCGACTGGCGCCTTCCTCCATTCCGCTCGAATGCTCTTCGGGTTGTCTAAAAGGGAACGGAAATTTCAAGCTGCCAGAGGGTCGGACTCACCCTAGGAGGGTGGGGACGAGGGGAGGGGAACGAGAGTTACTGTTGTTCTTTGTTTTCGACCGCGAGTTTTGCCTCCAGAAGTCACGGTATACTAGCAGATAGCGGGGTTTCCCAACGTTCCCTTTGAGCACTTTTTCTAGCCCCTTCTAAGTAGTGTTGTCCCTAAAACGCTGCGACGGCGGCCGCTTTGTTTATTGGGGAGCGACCCCACTCAACCTGGACCGCCCGCGGGATTGCACATCGTCCTCCCAGTAGGACTTTTGAAGTGGGAGGGGGGAGGTGAGATGGGGACTGAACTAGCAGGTAAACACGCACATCACCTGGTCTCCTTGTCTAATTTGGCCCGCCGGTCGAGGCGGTTAGCTGGGTGTGGATGATAGGAAGAGCACATCTCCGGTGGGCCACAGATGAGAGTTGGGTGTCATTTAAGGACTGTGGGGAGCAGTCGCCATTTGCATGGTGCGACCTACCGTTCATGCGGGGGGGCCCCTAACTGGAAACCCCGGCACCCCTGACGGTCGACTACGGACATGGTCAACAACAAGGTGTTCGTCCATGTCTTCCGTTACAGCGACATCCACCGACGCCGAGTTGACAACTTAGTTCTAAACGATGAAGTCCTCTTCCATCGCTCTAAAGAAGTAGGAATCCGACAACGCCTGCAACTGTCATTTTTAGACAGAAGTCAGCCTCTCCGCATGCGGCCAACAATTGATTTTTGGCCCTGCCAACAGTCCGCATCTTAATCCTGTCGGAAATATTTTCGCACCTAACAAAAGGAAGTCACACAAGGTAATGAAGAAACTTTTAGTGCAAGAAAAGCTTGGTTTTTTGCTACTTAATCACACTGAATGATCCACCATAGGCAACCCGGCTGTCTGCATGTCTGAGAGTCTTTTTGCTGTGTTAAATGCTGATAGACGATCAACAGGGTACTGATTTCTTGTATTTGTCATAATTTCAAACTACTTTCCCATTTTCATGCGCCCCCTTCCTTGTGTACCCCTATAGTTAACCTTATTAAAGTAATTTACAGTGTAGCCATTTTCTGTAACTAGTTTCCAGTCAAGAGTAATTATTTTTATGTGCGTAAATATTAATTACGAAACCCAACTATGCCTTCTTTTCAAGAACGGTCGTTTATATACTGCGGTAAGACTTGAGAAACGAGTTTGCATTATAGGGGTTTTTTTGAGAAATTCGTGACAGGACCTGGCGATCGAGACAATCGAGTTGCTTCTACAAAGTAAACAGGATGAAACGGAGAATCGTCTTGGACGCGCCCAAACCCTTCAGCTCCTGAAGTTCTGTCTCAGGACGTATCTCAAGTTCGAGGGGACTATCCACAAACAGGTGAAGGGCACACCAATGGGTTCGTCGATTTCGGGATTCATCGCCGAGGCGGTCCTTCAACGGTTTGAGTCGCTGGTCTTCCAACCTAACAGACCGAAACTCTGGGCACGGTATGTGGATGATACCTTTGTCGTTATCGACCGGGATCAACTCCTGACATTCAAGGAGCGTCTGAATGTGGTCTTCCCGGACAAACAATTTACGATTGAGGAAGAAAATAACAACCAGCTGGCCTTCCTGGATGTCCTCCTATGCCGCAAAGATTAATGGTGACCTCAAGAACAAAGTGCTCAGGAAAGCGACAAATACGATGCAAGTACTGAACATCAACAGCAACCACCCAATCAGCCACAAACACAGTTGTGTAAGGACGTTCTATTGGCCTGTCAAAACGCACTACAGTGAGACGGTAGACAAGATTGTCAAACTGCAATACCTTCGACGGATCTTCAAAGCCAAGGGCCACCCGCGAAACTTCGTCAACCGATTTATACACAGAAGGGATGAAAGGCTAAACCGCACGGACCCCAAGTTTTGGAGAGCGCTTCCGTATGTTAAGAACGTTTCGGAAGCCGTCGGCCGCCTTCTCGCACCACTTGGGGTTGGAGTTGCACATAGACCGGAGGCAACCATCAGGCGTCAGATGATGAAACCGAAAGACCCACTGCCACGGCTAGAAACGTCTGGAGTCGTTTATCGGATCTGGTGCAGTTGCGGACAAAGCAACTACGTCGGAGAAACAGGAAGACAGCTCCGAACGCGAACAGCCGAGCACGCTGCAGCAGTGCGGAGAAATGACGCCAGCGCTCAAGTGGCGGCTCATTCGACGAGATCCGGCCACACATTCAAATTCAACGAGGCCGAAATTCTCGCAAGAGGTGACAACTGCGTGATCCGCGAGCTGCCTGAGTCCCGGTTCACTGTCCCCCCTCTCCCAGTGTAACGACCCTCCTCTTCCCTATTCCGTGCTGAGACTTTGCCTAAGCGGAGTACTTAGCCACGCGGGGAGCGTACAGGCGAGCACTGTTTCCAACGCCAGGGTCGGTGCGTCAGATGGTCGAGTAATCATCACACCAACATCCGAAGCAGCTGATGAGATTGCAGCAATTAACAACACGAATATTAATCATCCAACAGTCATCACACCAAATGCAACGATCCTTGGAAAAGGAGGGAGGGGAGGCCACGGTGATATGGCGACTGCATCCTATAAATACTGCAGCCCTTTGTGGATGAACCACCCGTATCTGATTTTGATCCTGATGATGGGTTCGAGCAGGGCTCCGAAACATCAGGCGGATAAAGCTCTTGTCTCAAGAAGAAGGCGGCACGATCGCTGATCAGCGATCGTGTCGCCTAGGCATAGCGGACTACAGAGAGGTGATCCAATCCAGCACAATCCGGAAGACCTGTGTGAAATTCCCTCAGACCTGGTCATATTCAAATGAGCATGGGTTAGTCTCAGAAGGTCAGAGATTGTACAATAAATACCTAGTCCCTCTCGAATTTTTCGGTGTAATCTCGAAATTCTTACTACTATCTTGCAAGCTTTTTTCAGTCAAGGTTGCTACGTCTGCGCCCGATGATTAACGTGCGAACGAAGTAGTATCATCGAACTTTTTATGTTAGTACTTATTTATATTTATTTATATATATTTATATTTAATGCACTATATTATAATCAGATCATATTATTATATTATTTATACTATAACTACAAAGGAGCTATAAGCGGCCTCTTTGACCCCGTTGACACATATGGAAGTGGGTCTCAAGTAAAACACAGAAGTAACTGCGAGATCCACTCAGTCAGTGGAGGGCCACCGATTCTTTCGCTCTCTCTCCTTTGCAATGAAATAGGATACACTTTTAAACATCAAAACTGGAAAAAACTATGGTAGGGGGCGCTCGCCGAACGTTCTTACGGAACTCACTTCGGGATTGGGTATGACTGGATGACGACGGCTAATAAGCCAGAAATGGCCATTCCAGTCTCCCCTGTGTTTGTCGGTAATGCCATTCTGAAAAAAAACTATCTATGAGAGCGACTTGGGGGGCACCTAGGGTTATCCTGTAGTTCTGTAGGGGCCCTTCATCGTTACTGCATTTGACTGTATGCCAAACCCAGATGCCATCTGCAGACACAACTAACATGTACATCAGTTCTGTTATGCGATCGTTGACATAGGGCGGAAGACTATCTGGTCCAACAACCACATCCTGAAGTACTGGATCAAAATCACTATCGCCATTGAATTCGCCCTGCTTGTGCAACAGACTCCGGCCGGATTGTCAAGTAGTTCTCTAACCGAGGCAACAGGATTTCCGTATTAAAATTCTTGATATTAAAACCAGTCCACAGTAAAGAATATAACCGATGACATTACAGAATTTACTGTAAATGACAACGACTCTGGTGTTTCCCTCTAGTGCACCCTACCACTTCTCTTTTGGTTGAAGCATATTGAAAACTCCGTCACACAATGTTGAGGCCAAATGACCGCGTCGTAGCTTCTTCGATGTTTTTTTTTCAGGACGTTTAAACAAGAGCATGTTAGATTTACAGGCCTCATTCGGGACTCAGCCTTGCGAACTGGGTACCTATTCGCTACATTTCAATCAGAGAGAATGTCTCGCACAATGGAGAACTGGAAAATAAACGGAGGTAGTCCAGTGGGTTCGGCAACGAGCCTTTTCATTACGTTGCCGAAAGTTGTCCAGTTTACTTTTCAGAGTAATAGGCAAGGCCTTCATACATGTCCGCGTGTTATGGACAGCTCGACGTGTATTTTAGAGTGATGTCACCGCAAATATATTATACGCCCACACACGCACACAGGAGAGTTCGACCGTCGGTTTCCACTATCCCCACCTTGTGCTCAACAGCAGGGTGAGAGCAGGGACGGTGACTTCTGCGGGGTTCATAGTGAGGGCAGACTTTCACTGCATCTAGCACGCTCTTTCCTCTCCCCCACCTGGGCCCGGTGTCAAGACAGAGTCAAGAAGACCGGAGACGAGGGAGGCCGCAGGTGGATGGCTTGTACGGATCCTCGCCTTGGCGTTCCACCACACCCCCTGGTCCACACAACAAATGACCAGGATTTTCCCCAACATAACAGAGATTGGAGGCTGGCACGGTCGAAGCCGCACCTAGGCGTGCCGCCAACGCCTGGCTCGGATCCCACACAGTGGGAGGAGCCATTGCAGCCTGACTCTCAGGCCTCCAGGCGAGGAAGTCCAAGTTATCCCGTCAGTTGACAACCTTCCAAGCCACGGCTTTTAGCGCACCGTGATAGCTTCAAGCGCGTCAGATTGTTTCTAGTGAGGAAAATGCGCTGAGTAGTCGACCTCACTCTTCCTTCCCATTCCCACACCCCAGCCGCTGCCCGAGCCGGTCAGCAGACTGGAGTGGGAAATGGGCGCGGTGGTTGCCATGGTCGACGGACCATGACTGCGCGCGCCACGAGCACGACCTGCCCCCCCCCACACACACACCAGGATTTCACACAAGGGGGTTGAACGGCGTGTCTATCACTTGCGTGAGAGGGCCGTGGAAGGTGCTGTTTCAGCCCGTCGCCCTGCTCACCAGTCCGCCGGTCCACAAAACACACACAACGCGACGAACTGCGTGAACCGAGTGGGGGCGTCAATCAGCAACCTTCCTATCCACGACGCTTGAAGTGCCGAGATAGTCTCGGACTCGCGTTGTCCGTGTAGCCAAAGCCTCATGGGGACCGAGTTGAGATGCACACTTCCCACTTGCGTGCGAGGTGGCAGTTGACTGCTTGCGGTGAGTGAGTGTTCATATGTGGTGGGGTGGTGGTGGAGGCAGGGCGGGAGGGTGTTATGGGGTGGTGTAGCCGGCGGTTGTCTACCATAGGTCGTCGTGGATTCGCATGTGGCGGAATAGGCCCATGCGATGCCTGAAAGTGCGAAGGCAGTGTGGGCAGTTGAGTCGAGTGTGGTGGGTATAGTTTGGGGCTCCATGCACTGGTTCGCCAGTCTCAGTGCGATGGATTCGCAGGTGGCCGACCAGGCCGATGTGAGAGGTGAATGTGCGTGGACAGTGTGGGCAGGTGAAGTCGGTAGTGTCGGTGTCAGCTGCGATATCGGTGATGGACGCAGAGGGTGATGAAGTGGGAGTGGGGTGTGGCGTGGGGGTGAGTCGGGAGGGCGGTCAATTCCGCTCTCGTGGATGCGCATGTTGCCGAATAGGCCCATGCGATGCGTGAAAGTGCGAGAGCCGTGCGGGAAGTGGAGGCGAGTGCGGTGGGTGTAGGTTGGAGCTCCAGGCACTGGTTCGCCAGTCTCAGTGCGATGGATTTGTAAGTGATCGACCAGGCGGATGTGTGAGGTGAAGGTGCGGTCGCAGTGGGGGCAGGTGTAGTCCTGGTCTTCACTTCTGGAGTCGGAGGTTAGATGGGTGGTGTCTGCTGTTGTGTCAGGGATGGGTGTGGTGTTGATGTAGGTGATAGCCGCCAGAGCGGCCGTCTTTGGGGCAGTGCAGCATGAGGAGGAGGAGGAGGAGCAGGAGTAGGAGGAAAAGGGTGGGGAGGATGAAGAAGCGGAGGATGAGGAGGAGGAGGAGTAGGAGGAGGGGGTGGTGAAAGAGGAACAGGAGGAGGAGGAGGATGGAAGTGGTGGTTCAGGAGAGCGGTCAGATTTAGTTGGCGGCGTAGAGTACAAGGAAGAGGCGAACGGAGGGACGACGGTTGGCGCGGTTCGAAGGTGTCCAACAAGCCCCATTCGTGCCTGGAATGCCCGTTGACATCGAGGACGCGTTGGAAGCGGTTGTGCGCCGGCATTGTGGGGTGGGCGTTGTTGTGATTTGCGTGCTTCGCGTTTGACCTTGTCGGCGGCTATGCGGTTGGCTCCATAGATCACAGCGCCTGTCTTCACTGTCCTCCTCCAGGTCTCGGGCGAAGTTTTCCCAGTCGGTCGGATTAATTTGCAGACGTTACAGGGAGGACCTCAGAGTATCCATGTATCGGCGGATTTGTCCTCCTTGGCGGCGAGAACCCGTGGCGACGTCACCGTAGAGCGGACTCACCCTGCCAGACTGGCGGCGAGGGGGCGGAGTGAAGGAGGGGGAGAATAAGATGACGAAGGAGAAGTAGAATAGGAAGGGGAAGTAGAAGCAGGATGGGGAAGAGAGAGAGAGCATTGTTGTTGTTGTTGTTGTCTCTGTTTCGATTTTGGTTGCTTAGACCGTGAGTTTTACGTCTGCGACCACGGTCAGCCTGCAGACGACGTGGCTCCTCAGCAATCTCTAGGGCATTTTTTCTAGTCCCTCCCCTTGCGGGCAAACAGTGCCACGTCAAATAGGGCTGCTTGGTTATGCCGGCGCGGCCGAACTCCACTGTGGGCCACGAGATTTTCTTGGCAGTGGAAGAACGACTCGAATTTGCAAGAAGCATACGACATCGACGTAAGCTCGCGGCCTCCTGCGGTGCACCAGGCGGAGTCTCGTGCCGACGATGCCGATGTGAAGTTCCAGCCGACCAACCGCCAAGCGGAGTCCGCTCTACCGTGTGAGCGGGGCAGTGCGCTCACGGATGCCCTCACCTGGTTTAGCCCGCCGGTGGAGGCGGTTACCGGGGTGTGGTCGCTGGACAGAGCCCAACTTCGGGGAGCCACAATTGAGGATTGGGTGTCGGCATATGGAAGCTAGGCGCAGTCTGCACCTGCAAGCAGGTGGGCGACCTACTACGACCATCACGTGAACCCACCGCTGGACACCCCAACATTCCACATGAACACACACACGCACACTTCCTAAGTAGCATTGTTTTAGGGCATATTAATACGTAAATTTTGTGTGGTCTGTAGTTCAGGGTCGATGCGCACGAGAGATACATAATCGTCTAAGTGTTTCTTGAGAGGATGAAGTTAGGTAGACCATAGAACTAATTTAAGATCATCCCACCGTTCATTGCTCGATGTGTGAAAAATCCAGACTGAAGATTTAGCCTGCACATATATGTGCGTAGCCTCATGAAGTGCCCACCAAGTTCGGGCGAAGTCAACGTTGGAACATGTTCTTGATTAAGGTCAAGTACTATCTTATAAAGAAAGACAAACTTAAGCCTTTGTTACCTCAATAAACTGAAGTGAACAGAAGGAATAGACTCAGGCATTTCAATCTTTCCAGGCAGGATTGGTATCAGTAAACTTTTGGTGGGGACGTGAAGGCTTGTATTTGACAAGTGAGAACAATTCCCTCCTTACGGTTTATCCAGAAATATCAATGCTTCTCATACCCGCGCTATCACTGCGAGTGGGAATCTCCCGATCGTCAAATGTTAAACATCGCTATGGAGGAACCGACTTAATGGTTAATTGAACTCCTCCAGCGTTAAAAATAACATCGTGTTTAAATTTAAACGCTCCTCAGAGTGTATGAGTTGGGAAGCACCCCCTATGAACTCAGCGCTACAACAAACCCCTGAGGGCACACGCCAAACGCACGCGCACCTGGAGAAATAATGGTTTCGAAAAGATATTTTTTATTCCTTCTCGGTTAAGGAACTGTAGTTTGATTTGCGTGCGAAGATTGTGATGCACCGATCTGTGAAAACTGTCAAATTCAGCCTTGCCTGGCATCTTCTGTGATAACAAACATCTTTAATACGTGAACCATGCATGAACCTAGCGGTCAATGGAACATCTCCAGTTATCACCACTTCAGTTAGGACGAAAATTACCATTAGGAAGTTCAGATGCACGCACCCATTATCATTCAGCTACACCATATTGATTCGGCTGGATTGAGTACTGAGGGTTCATCAAGTTCTCTGTGATTAGCTAGTTCCGACGCACCGCGCATTTACTGTTGTAGTTCTGGTGAACGTCCTGTTAGAGATATAAAATTATATGCTGCCAGAAATATCTACAAAAAGGAATTCTATCACCCATCAATTCCTGGGTGCAAGCTAAAGCTTTGACATCAAAATTTCGCTATCTCTGAATTCTAAAGACTCGCTCATGACATCATGCCTAAGGAACGGGAAACTTCCACATTAACTCATAGAGACCAGCCGCGACAGAAAATCAGGAAAGTCGAAAGTTTCGAAAATCCGAAGTCGTCGGTGGTAGTAATGGGAATTACCCACTTTAACCTGGTTTTCTCTTACGTTCTCCTACATTCTACTGTCCACTCCGTTTTCCCGTACGAACAATTAACTGGGCATAATATACCTAATTTTTGATTGTTACTCTTTCTTATCTGTGGCTTATATGTGAAAACGTTAAGATGTACGATTATCTTATGCAATTAGAGCAACTTCGATGAAACTTTGTTTTAAACGATACTATTAGTAGCTCGATTTACGGTTATTCGCGCGGCGTCTGCGTTTTTGTGTCCTCATGTATTTGTACAATTTAAGTCTCCAGAGGGCTACCGGGATTACCCACGCCATCCATGGAAGTTTTTCAGGCTCAAAACAACAAGAAATTGCCATTTCCAGGGGAAAGATTTTGGAGCTTATGCGTGTTGATCCAAGTTCTGGAAAACTGTATACTCTCATAACAACTGAGGTTTTCGGCATCATCCGGTCAATGATGCCTTTTCGCCTAACTGGTGGCAACAAAGGTTTTGCATTCTGTTTTCATCTAAAATCATTGTTTCAGATTACATAGTTATTGGCTCAGACTCCGGTCGCATTGTCATACTTGAGTACATTGCATCTAAAAATGTATTCGAGCGTGTACAGCAGGAGACTTTTGGGAAAAGCGGCTGTCGTCGGATAGTACCTGGTCAGTATCTGGCAGTCGACCCCAAGGGTCGAGCTATCATGATTGGTGCCGTCGAGAAGCAGAAGTTGGTGTACGTCATGAATCGAGACTCCCAGGCCCGCCTCACAATATCATCCCCCTTAGAAGCCCATAAGTCCAACACGCTTGTTTACCACATGGTCGGAGTTGACGTAGGCTTTGACAATCCCACATTTGCTTGCATAGAAATGGACTATGAAGAGG